GGTTCTTGTCTGGTGGTACCCCCTGCTAGGTCCCCGTGAGTGTACATGTCCCTGAGGTTAAGCTTTAGAGTGGTACTCGGTAGTTTGGGGGCCGGTTAGCAGTACCCTGCCTGGGATTCCCAGGGTGACTCTCACTGTTTTTGCCTCCATCAAGCTGCCTGTTGGGTCGGTGACACTTTCGACCCAAAGTCCTGCGAGTTTTGTTGCTTGCTGGTGACTCAGTTTACCCAGTGCAATGATAATTGTATGCGGGTACAGGCGGCGCAGATGTTGCATGTGTGTTTTAGGTTGTTGTAACGCGCTAGGTTGGTTGCTCACCCGGATGCCCCGAGGCCGCCTCTTTTTGCTTATAGGGACCCGGACTTGGGGATGATGGTCGCTTCGGCCTTGGTTCAGTCCACACCCCCTTGTCCTTCCCCTGCTATGGTTCGTTCTGCCCCCCCCCCCCCATCACTGCTTCCGGCCCCGAAACGTCTGAGGGCTTCGGAGTTGGGACAGGGTTTCGATGGTCGTGAGACTCGGGCAGTCTCGGGGGATGCCTCTTCCGGTGTGGCGATGAGGCATTCGAGTCCGATCTCCCAGCCGAAGCCTCTGGGTCTGACCAGTGGACTCAATTCTGTCCGGCTTATTCGGCTGCACAGGCCTTTTCTTTTGAGGCCGGTGCTTTGGGGGATGACTTGGCCCCGGGTCCTGCGGTGGAGGATCCAGGGGAGGGGCAGACTTGGGGGGCCTTGGGCCCCGTTGGACCCCGCTTGGGTTTTTCTGCCCTCTGAGCAGGGCTTACTATTACAAGGAGTGAGGTTCTCTTTTCCCCCTCTGCGTACGAATTGGATTTGGTGTTTGCCCCTCCCCAGGTTCGGTTCCGTGTCCCCCCAGGTGCGTTGGTTCCATCTTTTCTGAGGTTTTCGGCTTCTCGCATCCAACCATCTGTGATGCAGGCGGCCCTTACAGCTTATCTCCTGCGTGATCTGTATTATGCCTCTGTTATGTATTCGTCATCTTTCAGGTTTGGGACGTAGTTCCCTTTTTGGGTCCGTTACGAGGTTCTGGGGTCTTCCTGGCTGGCAGACTGTCCTGTGTTTGATTTGGAGGCTTAGCATTCCTTCTGTTGTTCCCGCACGCTTGAGTGGCGCAATGCTTCAACGGTGGTTCAGGTTTTCCTGGGGAGCGACCTTGAGCACCTCAATGAGTGCTTGTTCGCTTCTGCCCTTTCCCGGGATGTTGGCATCGTGCAGCTGCATGTGCAGGTTCCCTCCTTTCGACTGTGCAGGTTGCTGAGGACTTGGGTGCACGTGACCTCTTGGCTTTGGCCTTGCATTTCTTTTCCCTCCTGGAGCTGTCTTCGGACTGGCTTGAGGATGTGGGGATGCTTGGGGCCGTTCCTGGGTCCAGTGCCTTGGGCTCGGCGGCTCGCTCATTGGCTGCCTTATTGAAGCTCTTTGCGCCGATGCTGCGGGATGCGATTTCGCTGTTTTATGCTTCCCGGCTCGCATGTCGGCAGGCGATGCTTGCCTCCTCTCTGGAATCGGCCTGGGCCCTGGCTCTTGGGATGTCTTCGCTTTTTTGTCCTCTGCTTTTTGTGGATTCTGCCGTGGCGCAGTATGTGCAGGCTGCTTCGGCTAGTTGTTGAGCCAAAGCTAGTTGTTGTTGCTTCAGCTGACTTGTTGGTTCTCTGGGGCCAGGGCTTGGGGTTCCTCTTGTTGGGGTAGGCCACTGGTGCCAGTTTCGGGTCCAGCCTCGCCTTCGGACCCGCCTTCATCTGGTTGTTGCGGTGTTCGCTCTATGCTAGGTTCGGGGTCTCGTAAGGGGCGCCGGCTCTTTTGCGGTTTGCCCCATTGATGGGGCAATGGGGGAGAGGCTTGCGCTGTTCGCTCATGCCTGGCCCCATGATTTGTGGACGTTTCGGGTCGTTTCCTTTGGCCTGTGGTGGCGTTGGGTAACCCCTCCTCCTTTGGGGGGTTTGGGGCTGGCGGGGCAGGCCTCTCCCCCTGTGCTCTGTTGAGTCATCTTGGAGTAGGTTCACTTGGGCGTGGTCGAAATGACAACGTCCCTCAGATGGGTTTCCCGTCTGTTCCCAGTACCGAAGTTGGACTGTGCGGACCTGCGGTTCATTCTGAACTTATACCGTCTGAACCACTGGGTTCATTGCCCCTCCTTTTAGATGACTACGCTGTCCCAGGTTTGGCTCCTGTTTGCGCCGGGCTCTTGGATGATGTCCCTGGACCTCCGGGATGCTTATTGGCATATCCCAATTCATCCAGGGTTCAGGGACTGGCTTGGTTTTGTTGTGGGGCGTTAGGGTTACCGCTTTCATTTTATCCCGTTCGCGTTGAACCTGGCACCTCGCGTGTTCACATGCCTTACCTGGGTCGTCATGGCCCGTCTGCATCTTTTAGGTGTTCAAGTATTGGCCTACCTCGACGACTGGCTGGTCTGGTCTCCCAGCTGGTCCTCTTGTCTGTTAACCAGGGATTTGGTTCTTTCCCAGCTCGCCGGGTTCAGGTTGTTGGTGAACTGGAGGAAGTCCCATCTGGTTCCCTCCCAGGTTTGGACCTGGCTGGGTCTTGTGTGGGACTTTTGGACCGCTTCCTTGTCTCTTCCTCCGGAGTCTCTCCTGCGACTGTGGTCCCACATGCGCCTGTTTTTTGGGGCTCCTGGGTCACCCGGCAGTTGCTCGAGGGGTCTGTGCGGGAGCCTGAACTCTGCGATGATGGTCTACCCACCGGGTCGGATTTGGCTTCGTCGGGTGTTTTGGTTCCTTCGGGGACGTCCCTTCCGCCTCTCTCACGATCGCTGGGTTTGGCCCCCGGGGGCTTTGTGTCGGCTGCTGCGTCGCCAGCGTCCTCTTCTGGTTTTTCAGGGTTCAGTGCTTTGGCGCCTACCCAAGACCTCGCTCGATGTGTTCACAGAAGCATTGTCTCTCCGCTGGGGCTTTGTGACCAGTGCTCACCAGGCCGGCTAGAGACTGTGGGGTCTGTCCTTCTGTCAGGCCCACAGCACGGTGCGGGAGTTTGCGCCAATGTGGTTTGCTCTTCGAACGGTTCGGGTCGCCCGCTGATCAACGATCCGGGTCCATTCTGACTGCTCCCCATTGGTTCATTGCCTGAACCGAGGGGGTTCGATGCGGTCCTTGGCTCTTTGGCGCTGGTCGCTTTGGGTGACTCGTCTGCTGAGTTCTCGGGGTTTGGCTCTCCTGGCAGTTCACGTGTGGGGGAGTGTCCAACGTCATGGCGGACGGCTTGTTTCATTTCGTTCCCCTGTCCACGGAATGGATGGTCAACACCGACTCCTTCCATTGGTTCTGCCAGACATTCAGGCGCCCCGAGGTGGACCTCTTCATGTCAGCGTGGTCGCAGCACCTTCCTCTGTATGTGGCGCCCTTCCCCGACTGCAAGTCTGGTGTCGATGCCTTTCGGCAGGTCGGCAAGACCAGTCGAGATGGAGGTTTCTGTACCTCTTTCCCCCGGTTCAGCTGTTGCTCCAGGTCCTGACTCGCTTGGAGACTTACCATTGGAGAGTAGTCCTCTTGGCCCTGTGGTGGCCAGCTCAGCCGTAGTTTCAGGCGCTGCTTGCTCGGTGTCCGAACTTGGAGGTTTTACCGCGGCTCTGCCTCTTCCAGCAGATCAGACCAGAGCGTTACATAGCTGGTTCGATCTTCTCCTCGAGTTTTCGCGTATGGTCTTTTTTACTCGAGTTTATCATCATCTCTATTGCTTCCTAAGTGGCTTCCTTGTTAGCGTCTCGCCTGCAGGCTTCGTCTCGGTGGCAGTATGAAGTTTCCTGGTGGTCCTTCCATTTCTTTTTGACTCTTCGTCGTTGTGCTTCGCTTTCAGTTCGGATGGTGTTGTCCTTTCTCTCTTGGTTGTTCCAGGACCGTAATCTTATACCAAATATTTGTTATTTATACCAAATATTGTCGCTTCGTATCGTGCGGCACTGGCAAAGCCGCTTCAGCTTGCTTTCGGTATTGATGTTACTTCTGCGCTGTTTCGCAAGCTCTCTCATGCGTTGTTTCACCTCTGGCCTGCTCATGCGCCGCCTGAGCCGTCCTGGTCTTTAGACAGGGTACTCTTCTTTCTCTCTCCTCCTTGGTTTGTTGTGGCTCCTTCGGTTCAGGATTGTTTCTCGAAGGCTCTTTTCTTGTTGGCATTGGCCTCGGGGGGTCGGGTCAGGGAGCTTCATGTTCTCCTCTGGCGCAAGGGTTTCTGCTCTTTCAGTCGTGGCGATTGGTTTGTTCGTCTGCAGCTGTCTCCTTCTTTCTGGTGAAGAATGTGATGGCTGCTTTAACAGAGGGGTCCTTGGGTTGTTGTTTGGTTGATGAGGCTGGGGTGCATCATCCTTTGTGTCCGGTTACAGCCCTCCGCCGTTATTTGTGCACCACGGCTTCTGTGTCCGGGGACATGCTTTGGGTTGATGCGGTTTTCCTCCTTCCCTGTTTGCGGGTGCGGGTCTCCCAGGTCGTCCTCAAGGTTATTAGCTAGCCAGCTGGAGGTCTATCCCCGTGCCCATGACATTCACAAGTTTGCTGCTCTTGCTGCTGTCTTAGCCAACATGTCCTGGGCTGACATTCGGCATGGGGTTTTTGGCAGTTGAAGAGGGTCCTAGCTGCGCGCATAGAATGCGACATAGAATGCTTCCAACCACATGAGGGATTCTATAGGCCATTGCTCCTCGTGCCTCTTCTGAGGGGCCCAGGTTCTGGCTCGTGGTCCCCGGTAGGCCCACAGAACTCCATATACATGACTGATGCCAAAGTCTGACATTAGCCTATCAGCCTGGATAGCTCCGGGGAGTCTCCGGGTCTCGCCCAGAAAATAGCGTTTCATTACATTCAATGTTTTTTTTTTTTTTTTTTTTTTTTTTTTTTTTTTTCTCTTTCTCATAACTTCATATTTTCTGTTTATGCTACCCAGTAGGTCTGATCAGGATTCATAGATTGAAAGTAAATGTATTTACTGCTAACCTACAGTATTTTTTATCATAGTTTGCATTTTCTTAAGGTTGTTGCAGAAAAGCAGAAATTGGAGCGTGAGGTCACGTCATTGCAAACAATAATGGAAGATGATCGAAAAGAGATAGCTGACCTTCGACGGCAACAGCAGGTCAGCAACCTACTAGTACGAGCGTTTTCGATCGTAGATGGAGCATCACAAAACTAATCACTAACCCAGGCAAAGTGACTGGTTTTACAGCAATTCTTTTTTGGTATACTCACCTTTAATTCCTGTGAGCTCAAGCTGCACTCAGATATGTAACTAGTTCAGCAACTTTGAGTCTTGACAATTTTTTTTAATATTTTCCATTTACTCAAAATTCACTTAAGCCAACTGTTCTACTATTGAGAAACAAAGTTGCCAATCGTGTTGCACATTCTGACTTCCATAATTTCAAAGCTACGCTAATGATATTGTAGTCCACTCCCAAGTATTCCATGATGCTTCCCAATGGTTTTTTCCAAATCCATGATAAATGATTGATTTTATTCCAAGACTTGCAGTCCCTAAGGCTCTGCAAAGAAGGACTTCAGTAGGTGTGCCTTGTATTTTGTGTGATTCTTCTTGTATATTAGCCAAAATTTAATGCACATTTAACTTCAATCACTCCTTAATTTGAGCACAAATCCCCCCACCATTTACAGCTGTGACTGTTTGTCAGCTTTCAGAAGCGTTAAATGTTACTAGCTGAACTTAGTAGACTAAGTAGGTAGTCCTTACTCATCAAGCTTATTCTTTGCTCTGTCCTTTCTGTTAATGTTAACAAATAACAATTGTATAAAAAAAATGTGGTTTAATATTTATGGAAATTAATGCAGTTTGTTGGTGTGTTTCACTTGTTTCAGTATCCACTTTGGCTTTGCAATATCTCTGGGATGGTGGTGGTGTAATTGAATGTGAGACGAGGTTCTTTTTTTTTTTTTTTTTTTTTTTTTTTTTTTTTTTTTTTTTTTTTTTACCTATTTTTAGTGACATTTCTTTCCTAAAGTACAGTATTAGGTAATTAAAAAAAATTGGGAAACTCCAGATAATTAAAAAACAATAAAAACGTTTGTGTGTGTGTGTTTGTGTAATTACCTAATTATAATTATAGGATGAGAGCTATACACGTGGGGTCCCGTCTTCCCAGTATTCTTTGTCATGTGACGCATTGAAACTACTGATGGTTTTGGCCTCCACCAACTTCTCACTTAACTTTTTCCAACTGTGTACCACTCTGCAAAAGAAAACTTTTTAATATTTATTAGCACCTTTGTTTCCTTAGCTTGAATCTATGACCTCTTGTTCTTAATTTTACTGGTTTCAAGAATACCTCTTTGGCAATTTTGTCAATTCCTGTTACTATTTTGTATGTTTTGATCATATTGCCTCTTTTTCTTCTATCTTCTAGGTTTGGCATATTTTTATGCCTCTAGCCTCTCTTCATAACTCTTGTTTTTCAGTTCGGTAAGCCATTTTCTAGCTTGCCTATGCACCTTTCCAGTTTATTGATGTGCCTCTTGAGATATGGGCACCATATAGCTGCTGCATATTCCAATTTTGGTCTCACAAAATTCATGAACAATTTCTTCAGTATTTCACCAAGCAGGTATTTAAAAGTGATCCTGAAGTTGTAAAGCGCAACAAATGCTCTTCACAAAATGTCCTGTGTGAGTTCCACTGGTGACAGTCTACTATCCAGAACCACCCCTAGATCTCATTCTTTGTTAGAGCTCTTTAATTCCTTTACACATAATTTGTAGGTTGTGTGTGGACTATTTTCTCTTATTCCAGTTTCTAATAGTTAGAATCTATGGGTAGAACACCTGGAGAGTGATGACATAATAACGGACAGACAGTATGGTTTTCGAACAGAAAGATTCTGTGTAACAAATCTACAGTACTTAGTATTCTGATAGAGCAACAGAGATTCTACAGGAAATAGGTCACTGTGTATTAGGACCTAAAAAAACTTTTGACAGAGTCCCAGATAAGAGGTTGTTTTGGAAACTAAAATGTGCTGGAGTGGTGACAGAAAGACTTCTGACATGGATGAAAAATTTTCTGACAGACAGACGAGGGCAGTAATCAGAGGCAAAGTTACCTCATTGTTACATGTAATGTTATCAGAGGCAATGACTGGAGGAGTGTTACCAGCGGAGTACCACAGGGTTCAGTTCTTGCACCAGTAATGTTCGTCGTCTATATAAACGCTCTACCAGAAGAAATACAGAATTATATGAACATGTTTGTGGATGATGCTAAGATACTGGGGAAGATAGGAGACTCAGACAGTTGTCATGCCCTTCAAATTGATCTAGGTAAAATAGGTGCTTGGACTGACATGTGGCAAATAGAATTCAATGTGAACAAATGCCATGTTATGGAATGTGGAATCTGAGAAAATAGACCACACACAACTTACAAATTATGTGAAAGAATTAAGAACTCTAATAACGAACGAGATCTAGGGGTGGTTTTGGATAGTAAACTGACACCATCAGCTGTTGTATGGTGCCCATATCATCAGTAAACTGGAAAAGGTCAAAGGCATGCTACAAAATGGTTTCTGGAACTGAATAATAAGAGTTATGAGGAGAGGCTAGAGGCGTTAAATAAGCCAGAAATAGAAGATAGAAGTAAAAGAGTTAATATGATCACCACTTACAAAATAACAACAAGATTTGACCAAATTGACAGAGGAATTCCTGAAACCAGCAACTTCAAAAACAAGAGGACATAGATTCATGCTAAGGAAACAAAGATGCTAAAAACATTTGGAAGTTTTCTCTTGCAAAAATAGTAGTAGTAGATGGTTGGAACAAGTTAAGTGAGATAGTGGTGGAGGCCAAAACCGTCAGTACTAGTTTCAAAGCATTATACGACGAAGAGTACTGGGAAGACGGGACACCACGAGCGTAGCTCTTATCCTGTAACTACACTTAGGTAATTACTTGGAACTGATGCTATGTTGGGTAGGGGGTGGGGGGGGGGAATCGGTAGAGGGGTTATGGAACAAATCCACAAGGGCCGTGCCGAGGATTCGAACCTGCGTCCGGGAGCATCCCAGATACTGCCTTAATCGACTGAGCTACGACAGGGTTAAAAAGAGTTGAAACCGAAGTTCTACTGAACTTACTGGATCCCGTAGCCTCTCCGAGGCACAAACCAGGGTTTTACACAACTCCCCCCTGCACTCGAGTTATGTCAATAGGCCGTTCTCCCTCTCTGCCCTTACATCATTACACATGGAATGTGTAATTATGGATTATGGAATGCGTGTGTTGGTTTTAGTGTGGCTGTATGTGTTAGTGATAGTTAGGGTTTCCCAGATTTTTTTTGTAATTTTATAATATTAAGTTCAAAACTTAAATTTCTGATGTTTTACATGAAAATAAAAAAATTACCATTAATGTAACATCTAAATCACTGGAAGAGTGTCATTAGCTATGTACACAAACCTTTCCTCTCCCATTCGATACATTTAATTTTGTGGTATAAATCTATGGTTGGGTTTCAGTGCAACTGCTTGGTTTAACTGATTCTTATTTATAGGGCAGTTAACAGTGTCCTTGAATGTCAAGCATTAAGATGGTAATTTCTAGACTTGATGGAGAGTAGCTCATGATGAAACAGTGTGATCAAGCTGTATGTTTTACTGTCAATAACCTTCAGTAAGTGTGCATGACTGTTGCCATTCAATTTTTAGATATTTGTCAACATTGATGAACAATTTAATCTTGAAGGTTACTTTAAATATGCTAGTTCCCTTCTCATATATATTGTAGATATTAAATGTAGCTGCCCCATAACCCTTAATGTTTCAACATGAAACAATGTTGGTGTCCCCCTCCCTCCCTCCCTTAACTAGGAAGGCATCAGAAGGTCAACTTGAGAAGAAGAAGTAATTATGAAGTGTATAACTGGATTATTGCCTATTTGTTTTAACATAAAATTCCATCTGGTGCATTCATCAACAAATTTTAAAGCATTTTTAATTTTTTTTGAATTTCATGTGTGATGTGATGCACTATAAGATGCCTGCTGCCATCATAGTTGAAAATATCCTTACCACTTTTGCCTAACAAACCCAGTCCTAACCTTTCCCCCTCTCTCTCTCCCCTGCCCTCAGAAGGTTAGATTCCCGCTCAAAAGACAGGTGGGTCTTACCCCCTTAGTGGATGACAGTTGCATGATATGCTCCTAACAAATTAATATGGGTTCTGTTAGTATGGAGTGAAGCAAGGAAATCTTGGCTCTCCTTGCAGTAAATCCTAATCTAAGCATTTTGTGTACTAGAGATAATGGAATCTTTTTGTGCACTCACTGCCTTGATATTAATTAAGTAGGTGTTCAATGGCTAAGAAGTTGCAGAACCCATGCTCGGTGATCATTTCACTCGGCAAGCTTTTTTTTTTATTGTGTAATGTTATGCAATAGTTACTTGCATGAAAATAAAGCATGATGAGCATATTCTGAGAATGATGTCTTATGTCTGTATATTAATTAAGAGCACAACATTACAGTCGTACATCTTTAGATAGTGAGTTTTCTAAGTAAATGTTTCATATTATTTTTGTGTTATATTCATATCTGTGTTTAAGCCTTAACTAGAACATTGGATGGTCTTGCATTTATGGTTCTTTCAAATAATAGCAATTTGTTTAGTGTTAACTTTTTTTTAGGATGTAGATATAGTAAATTATGCCACTCATCTAGATGCAAGGTTCATTATTCTGTAATAAGAGTGCATTATATTATTTTGTATTAAATGTTGAGTCAAGTAGAGACTAATGTGTTAGTGAGAGCAGATAATAAGATAATTAACAGGTAATGATTGGAGAAAGATGAGGTATTAATTGGTGCAGGAGTTTTGAGCAGCTATTAGTCACATTATGGTTGTGTGCACATTAGTAGTTTGCTTTGTCACTTTGTACAGAGTCATTTATCCACACTCTTCAAGCTACACTGCACTCATACTTGTATTTAGAATTAAATGTTTAATAAATCAGAAGTTAAATTGTATCGTGTAGTATTAATATATAATTTTGCAATAATTAATCAACAATAATAATAATAATAGGCTTTAGAATTTAGTGGCCTATTTGTGTGCTTTCATTTGGTGCTTGATAAAGCACATTCTTATGAAAAAGTCAAATATTATTATTATTATTTTCTTGCCACAAACCAAATCTTAGTTTGTACAATAGAGTACAGTATATTACAATTACTTTATTCTGATCATAATTTAATGTTTCCTTATTAGAAAGTGTATATGCAACTGCTTTTCAAAATTATAAAATTAACATTATCATATTAGAGGACACTCCTCTTGAAAGTAATTTTTTTTTTAGTTTAATGTCTACTGTAGGTATATGGAAAATTACTTAACAAAATAAGAGAAATGACAAGTACAGTATTTTCATTTTCTAAGAATTCCTCCACTTCTATATATATATTATATAATAGCCATCTTCACCAGCATCATTCTCTCCCTTTAACTACTTTTTAACCAAGCACACTACAAACCGTTAAAATCCTCTCGTTAGGTAGACTCTCTCCCCAAACATTTCTCCATTTATGCTCACTCTTGTTATTGTGTTACATTGATGCCCAGTGTTCAGTATATACATATTGTTCCCACTTCATTCTTCAATTTTGTGTTAAGATTCTGCTGGCAGTGTTATAGACACCTTTTTACCAGCTATCATATTTTCTTTACAGTTTCTAGTACTGTATAGTTTTAAGAGCTTCCATGCATGTTACATCACAAGTACAGTATATAAGTAAGGGTTGTATATCCTTTGCTGGCTTATTCTCTCTGGTAACTTCCGTTCCTTGCTAAGACTGTCTCAATAATGTGGCTGAGCAACTAACCCAACAACTCAAACATGAGAAATTAGATTCAATTATATGATAAGAGTCCAAAACATGGCCAAATGTTGTCATTTTCATTTAATTTCATGTGTGGGTTAGTTATTTATTCTCCTTTCTTGACTCGATGACTTGCTGTACAAGTTTTCTCACTCTTTAACCATATGAAATGTTTCATTTTTTTAATGATGTGCTCTAAACGTTCTAATCAAGAATTATAATTGCTGGTTTGTCTAGCGTGTGTGAAGCAGTTGCCAGTTGTTTAAGAAAGTTTGACAAATGAAAGTTTAGTTGATGACCATGGCCATGAAAACTGTCTTTGAGCTTCATCATTTTGTTTTTGACAAGTACGTTTTGTAATGTAAATTATATTCTGCACAAATATCATTGACATTGTTCACTGCTATTCTATTTCGCTGTTTTGAGCTCATTTTAGATGTACGTTATCTCTCAAGAAAGGTGAATTTCTATAGTATAAACTTTCTTATTTTGCATTTGTAATTTTCAGTTAATATTAATAAGTGTTCAGTATCTGCAATACACTAACCATATAGCACACGGCTTCTAAATTATCATTATGGTTTTTAAAGCAGCTTCTTATCTTCCAAACATGTTTGGCCAAGCAGAACATTTATTTAATCCTAACCATTGTGGGCATCCCATGGTGCAGCAACGAGAACAGCTGTAACAGTAGTTTATTTGCCTCTCAATGCATGGAAACGTTGCATTTTGCTCTACACTTAAACATCATGCAGTTCCTCTGCCTCCTTGTAGTTTCAACTCCAAAAATCTATAATATTGTTGAGAAAAACATCAGTCAATCTAGTGCTGCTAGTATAAAGATGACACGGTTGAAAATGCTTAATCAACTGTGCACTGTTAAAAAAATGGCCTGTGAAAGGTTCCTGCTAATACTATAGAATCTTGTTGATTATTATTTAAACAATTATACTTATCACATTGCCATCAGTTTGAATATTATACTTTACAATTATTCATGAATTTTGCACTTGCCAGTTATAGGGCATCTGTATACTTAAACATACAACCACACTAACTAGCATATTGTATACTTAAGCATACATTCACACTACCTAGCATATTATATACTTAAGCATACAACCACACTAACTAGCATATTTTTATAGACTATTCAGCTTGATTTAATATTCATCATTCTAACTTTCAATTCAAGTACAAAAGCAACACTCTTGCATTCCCATGACTCAATATGGATCATCACCTTGTAACTTTTCTCTAAATATGTCAGCAGACATATTTAGTGTACTGTACATGCATTTACATGTGCATGCATGCACATGTGTATGTGTATCTCTACTATATTTACATACAGTATTCAGTACTCTACAGTACAAGCTTAACTATAAATTATAAGTCTTTTGTATTGTACTTTACACATTAATGTTTGAAACTTTGCATATTTATAATGCTTTTATTATGTATATCTTATAAGACATTTATCTTTGAGTTTTGAGTGGAGCAAAAGTGATAGCAAAGTGTTATAATCTTGTGGATACAAATTATAATGCAGTATAAGCTTGTGGCACTATGTTATCCATAACTCCATTTAAATATACCTGTAGTTTATTTTCTTGGCATATCTTGTAATTATTTTATTATTCGTATCCTTTGCGACAAATAAGACCACAAATTCTACAGTTGCTTACATTTTGTTTAATATTCAGTATTTTTGTGCTTGTAAGTTGACCGATTAGATCTGCAAAGATTGTTAGGTTGAAAATTGACTGCAAGTGTACAAATGACTCTGTAGTATTTTGCCTTGTGCTAGTCTTCATGTCATTGATTTACTTGTAATAGAGCTGTCTTTCTTTGATGCCACACTTAGGAGACGGTTATAGTAAGTTGTGGACTTTTTGTTAGGCCTAGCTGTATGTATACATAGGCTTTTTGTGCTTTAGATGTTTAGCTGTATGTTGTGTGTTATATATTACTGCATATTTCATATTATATGGCATCTGTGAGTTTGTTTTACAAACATTTATGATTGCTTATTTCAACACTGCATATTTTGATGCATGTTCATATGTACATGTACAAATGAGCATGTAAACCCACAGACTGTGTACAACCACAGAGCATGTAAAACCACAGATGTGTAAAACCACACACACGTTGGGCGTGGGGATAACCGCCGGGGACGTCTCCAGTTCGAGCACACAGAGTTAAGGTCATCTTCCTTTTTGGGAGACGGGACACCACGAGCATAGCTCTCGTCCTGTAACTACACTTAGGTAATTGCACACACACACACACACACACACACTAATATTCACCAAGTGATTTAATATTCACCAGGAAAAAAGAAGAGATATTTGACATCCAGTATCTTGGGAAAGTGTGATCATGTCCTGTTAGAAATTAAATATGCTTTGCGATATGGTCTAGAAGAGAATGGGGACATTGAAACGGCTGATAAACTCGATTTCATAAGAGGATTCTCTTGAAATTTGATTCTCTAAGTTCTGTGGGGCACTTAGAAATTTGTTTAACGAGTTCAATTCCACAAACTTGCTGCTAGGCAAGGAAGTAAATGAAATTTATCCCAAATTTTGTAAAATATACGATGAAGGAACACAAAAATTCATACCAAAACAGAGATGCAAGACCAGGAAACAGGTTTCGTTCTGCAGAAATTGTGAGAGGGCCAGAGAGGAAAAGACAAGAAAATGAGTTCAATATCGGAAGAGACTTATTCCATAAACATATCAGCACTACAAGCGAGAAAGAAACAGTTACACAACAGTGAGGAGAGAGGCAGAAAGGAACTTTGAGAAAGGTATAGCGGACAAATGTAAAACAAATCCAGGCCTTTTCTATAAATTTATTAAAAGCAACTTGCATGTAAAAGATAAAATCCAGAGATTGAGAATAGGGAACAGGACTACCGAGAATGAACAAGAAATGTGTTAAGCATTAAATGAACAGTTCCAAAGTGTGTACAAAATGAGGATTTTAGAGAGCTGGACTCAATGCCAGAGCAAACCATAAAAAACAGAGATTTCTCAAGTTGAAGTGGAAAAATTACAGTACTTGGTGGGCTAAGAAGACATAAAGCAGTTGGACCTGATAGTTTCACCTTGGGTGCTGCGAGAATGTGCAACCGAGCTGAGCATTCCACTCCAATTAATATTCCAGACATCCTTGTGTACAGGAATCTTAGCAGATATATGGAAAAAGGCAAACATAGTACCAATCTATGAAAATGGTAGTGGAGAAGACCCCTCTAAATTGTAGACCCGTGTC